AAAAAGACAATTAATTCAATCAGAGACTCACTTTGGAGTACACTTTGCACCAGAGAGGTAGCCAAGTCCTGCAAAAGGCAAATTGCCTAAACGGACCAGTGTTAACCCTTGGTGTAAATAAAGGGAGAAGGGAATGAGGCTATTTATTTATATTTACTTGCATCTGCAAACAAAAAGCATGAGAGCATATACCAGACACTATTAAGGGGACTATGTGGAGCGGAGGCGGGGATTCTAGTGAGAAGCAGGTGGAAAGGGAACAGGGGAGGAGGGAGACTTTTACTGCTTTCCTTTTTCAATGAAATGCATTCCCTATTCAAAACAGTAAAAACAACACCGGCTAGCTTAAAAGCTCTTATGACAAAACAAGCATATTTCAAAATTCTACATCATAGCACTACTAACACGAGCTCATGCATTGATTCATATCCCAGGTCATTCATTTATTGACTATGTGATCTCTTTCAAAAATTAAAGTATAGTTGACATACAATGTTTTATGAGTTTCGGGTATGCAATACAGTGCTTGGACGATTCTATACATGAGTCAGTGCTCCCCACGTTAAGTGTAGCTGCCATCTGCCAGGACACATCACCAGGTAACAGCATGCTGTTTTTATAGACTCTTGACTATATTCCCTCTGCTGTACTTTTCATCTCCACGACTCATTTATTGTATAACTGGAATGTTGTACATCCCCCCACCCACTTCCCCTTTGGCAACCATCAAGTTTGTTTTCTGCATTTATGATTCTCTTTCTGTTTTTTGTTTGTTCCTTTGTCTTGTTTTTTAGATTCCTCACATAAGTGAAGTTACACGGTATTTCTCTGACTGAAATATCACTCAGCATAATACCCTCTAGGTACATCCATGTTGTCACACATGGTAAGAGCTTTCTTTTTTATGGCTGAGTGATGGATACTCCACTGCATACATTTACACTCCTCCAGGGTCCAGACCCTTCATCCTATTAAGTCTCAGCGTTACTAGGTTACAAGAACCTCTGGTGGAAAAGTACTTTAACACTTCTTTTTCTTTCTTTCTTTCTTTCTTTTTTTTTATTGTGGTAAAATATGCATCAGAAGATTCACCATTTTAACCACACAATTCAGTGGCATTAAGTACATTCACAATGTTGTACATCAACCATCATTACCATCCATTTCTAGAACTTTTTCATCATCCCAAACAGAAATTCTATCACCCTTAAATAATAACCCCCCATTCCCCTCCTCCCTTCAGCCCCTGATAACCTCTATTCTACTTTCTATCTCTATGAGTTTGCCTATCATAGGAACCTCATATAAACAGATTCATACAACATTGTTCTTTTGTGTCTGGCTTATTCCACATTCCATAATGATGTCAAGGTTCATCCATGTTATAGCAGGTGTCAGAATTTCATTCCTTTTATTTTTTATTTATTTATTTAAGATTTTATTTATTTATTTGACAGAGA